AGTTAAAAAAAGTAAAAAAAGTAAAAGTAAGTACTACGTAGTAGGTAGTTAGTTAACCGTAACTTACCTAACTATTAGTATAGTGCGTACTAAGTAAGTAGTAGTTATATATATATATATATATATATATATATATATATATATATATATATATATATCGAAAAATAATCTTATGAGCCAATGGGCTCATAAGAAAAAATGAGTCCAATGGTTCAGATTGAATTTGGACAGATCTGATGATCACATATGTCCGGTGGTGTTTTAATTTTAATTTTTTTTTTCTACAAATCCAAATCATTTAAGATTTTACCAAATCACTTGAAATTTTAGGCGTATGTTCTTCTCATCAAGTCGCATTTAATAAAAATAAAAATAAAATAGTCTGCAAAAAACAAATTGGTCAAAATACCCCTGAAATTTTACCGGGATATTTTGGTCAATTTTTCATGTAAAATAGTTTTTTGATATTTTTTAAAGATTCGCCTATTTTTTATGAACACACACCTAAAATTTCAAATGATTTGGATTTGTAGAAAAAAAATTAAAATTCAAACACTATCAGGCATCCGTGATCGTCATATGGGCCCATATTCAATCTGGACTGTTGGGCTCACTGGCTCACAGGATCACTTTATATATATATATATATATATAGGTACGGTTTGTATAGAGCCGAAGTTCTAAACAATCAAATTAAGGCCCTCCTTCAAATAGTGTCAAGAATATGGTTTCAATATTGGAAATATTTGATTAGCCTTAAAGTAAAATTTAAAGCTTCAAAAATAGTGTAGATCAAACAGATCCATGAAAACTTGAATAACTTAAAAATTGATGGTCCAAAAATGTATTACAAGATATCACACATAGAATTAGAGTTGGAAGGACAAAGTGGAGATGTGCAAGCAGAGTTTTATGTGATCGTCGCATACTAATGAGGCTGAAAGGCAAGTTATATGGGACAACTGTTTAAATGGTCAATATAATACATACCCATAAGATGAATGTAGCTTAAGTGAGGATGTTGATATGGATGAATGAAATGACAAGAAGGGACAGAATTCGAAATGGATAGATTTGAAATAACTTACGTGTGGGCAACAAACGATAAAATGAGAAAAAATAAATTAAGGGGATGATCATGTATAGCACACCCCCAATATAGCACCCGTTCAAAGGTACAAATTTGTTCACGTGGAAGGCTCAAAAATAGCTAGGAGAAACCCAAATAAACATGATTGAAAGTAGCGAGAAAAAATATGAAGACTCACAGCATCACTACGAATATAACCCTTCATTTAAGCAGAATAATAGTCTCTCATTAAGCGGAATAATAGTCTCATTTTTTTCTCATCTTGCAAAATTTGTTTTCCTGTGAATTCTTCCCCACCAATTTAACCATATCTCCCAATTTTTTACGCTCCTCTCTCGGGTACTTTATCCAAAAACCCAACTCATTATTCTATCTTCGTGCGTTCTCCCTCTAAGCACTATAACAGGTTCTTCTCCACTATCATACTCTCTCTAAAACCCCAACCCAATTCCCGTCTCATCTCATATTTTTTTCTCTAAAAATCTAATGTCATTTTTGCCTCCAATGACACTAAAAACCCAACTCATATTTTTCTCTCTAGAAATCTAATATCATTTTTGCCTCCAATCACAATAAAAACCCAACTCTCTAGAAATCTAATGTCATTTTTGCCTCCAATCACACTCCAATCACACTAAAAACCCAACTCTCTAGAAATCTAATGTCATTTTTGCCTCCAATCACACTACAAACGCAACACATTTCTTGCCTCATCTCATATTCTCTCTTCAAAAACCCAATCTCATTTTGCCTCCACTCACATTCACTTTCAATCCCAACCCCATTCTTGCCTCTTCTCATATTTTTTTGGAGAGAGAATGTAAGAAGGAAGAATGCATTATGTTTTATAGAGGATGTGGAGAAGGGAAGAAACCATGGGAAAAACATGAGAGATGAGAAGCTTTAAGATTTTGTTGTTAAAAGAGGGCCAAATCAGTCTATTTACCCTCTATAAAAGTTGGGAGGGCTAAAATCAAAAACAAAATCTCAGGAGTTCTCACATCTTATAAGAATTTCTCGTCTTAAAAGCCCATAAATAAATAACATCAAACATATCCAAACATGACCATAGGTCTAATGGTGCTGCTGATAATCTTGCAAAGCTGGGGTTATATCGTTTAATTCTCATATTTTTCTACGGTTCTTAGGGATGGTTTTCTTGGATGTTCATTTGTAACCCCAATCTTTGGCCAATTAAATTTTTTGCTTTTATTCTAAAAAAAGAACAAAAAGTCATAAAATAAATAACATATCACCTTATTCAAGGGGCGCCCTCTAGTAAATGGTAGTATTGGCCTAATATCCAGGCACAAATTCATCATTAGCTACATAGAATGGCGAGATTTTAGTATATGGTTACAGCTTTCACTAGATTTTCGTCGAAATTGTGGCATTTCACGAGCACAAAATTTTCTCAAAACTCAATAAATTAGGGAAAATTTATTGAGATGTTCAGGTCCACCCTGAAAACACATCAATGCTCAAATCAAGCCCATAATATTGTAACATCCCATAGCAAAAAAGGAAATTTGAGATAAAAAGCACATCATAAACGCACAGGAGCCATACGTACCATGATATATCCAAAGCCTGAGGTGACCCGAGCATTGAATTTGATCTGATATCCCACAATTTACATCAGAAATGGTCTTCAGAGAGGACAAAATAACTTATGAACCCAACAGATGCCGATCAAAATTTCTCCCTAGCCCATTAGAGGCAAGAAAAGCTTCCAACTTCTATTGAACCACCTCCTTGAAAACATCCCCAAAATGAGATTCACAGGCAGCATATGCATCAGGTTTCAATGCCTTTATAAATGATTTATTCAGCTTAAGCTTTGAAACCACCTTCAGTGCTCCAATACAAAACTGCCTCACCTCCGACCTCCTCGATGCTTTCTCTGGTGGCTTGCTAAGGAGCTGTTGAATCAAATCACAAACAGAAGATAAATGCCCTTTAAAAAAACTCAACTCACTTAAAATGACTTCTGCTTTGCCTGAAACCCACAATTTCAACATGTCATCCACTAATGAAAGAGCTTCGACTCTACGAAACTCTGACTTAGTGTTCCTGCATTTCTCTAGTAGAAACCCAAAAAGCATTCGCACAAGCCACGGCTCCCTTCGAAAAACCTCTTTGAAGAAACCTGACTTAAATCGAGACTTCTTGTTGGTAAAGAAGTCCTCTAGGGATGTTTGAAATATCTCTATTGTCCTCTGCAACTGGGTTTCTGTAAAGTTGGCACGAACAATTTTCAAGAGCCAAAAGGTTGCGTTTTGAGATAGAGAAGTCACCGGTTCTTGTTTTGATCGAGAGGCAGAACTTAGGCTCTTCTCAAGATGGTTTTCTAGGGTTTTGATTTGAACACCGTCACCCTTGGGGTAATCCTTCTGCTTGAAGATCCTCCTTTGCAAGATGCCACTGATACGCTGCGTCAACTGTACACTTCCTCCCATGCGAGAAAGGTTAAAAACTACACGGATCAAGTATGAGTATGCAGTCAAAATGATGGGTTTACCTGCACGATAGAACAGGAAGTTATGTGATGCATCGATCCATGTTGTGGGGTAAGTAGACCATAACAAACGATATATTGATTTCCTCAAGGATATTGAGAAGAATATCACTACGTGAGTGTTAATATAAAGCTAAATTTTAAAAGTAGGGGAAACTTATTCTTTCTTTTTCCACCCATAACTTTCCTTTAGATTTGTCCTCATTTTTCAGACACTCCTTTAGATTTGTCCTCATTTCCAGCTATTGCGAAAGATTGTCAGAAGAATATGAAATTTGAAAATCTCCCATGCAGGTTGTTTACCGAGAAGGTCCCCAGAACAATTGTCTCTATTGTCATATTGTGAGACAAATATGACTTCCAAGGAAATAGCTAATATAACCTAAGGATCTCAGAGAAACCATTGTCCTTAAAAGTCATCAGTCTATTGGAGGAAGGATAAATGGTAGTTGATATAATAGAACACACCGAAAATGACATGAACCTAGGGGGTCCCAATTCTCTTTGATAACCTTAAGGATTATAGATTTCCACACTTTTAAGAATAGAGAGTACTTTCCCAAATCAATATTTGCAGGGGATAGAGAGAATAACTTCAAAACACACAATCACTGGAGAACTTCTGAAACTAGAGGCCAATTGATCCACTTTAAATGGAGTGAAAAGTGAATGGCACTCACCAGCATGCTTTTGCAGGAAAATTTCCAATAGTGAAAGGACTCGAAGCTTGAACAGCATGAGCTGAGACTGAGTGGTATCACCACCACCACCAGCCATGTTCTTCTTCTCCTTGAAGATAAGGGCAAGATATGAGTCCATCCTAAACATGGCAGCATCATCCATGCCACCATCCGAGTCATCAGAGCCCTCTGGATCTTGCGTGGCGTCATTGGCTTTTCCGAATGCAACCCCATCATCATCATCAGCATCATTCAGATCCTCATTTCTCATCTCAGCATTGCTCTCTCCATCTTCACCAGATTCCTCAGCCTCATCGTTATCCTCTGTTTCTTCAATACCCAGAACATCTTCTTCTTCATCATCATCGCTGTCTGCCACCTGATGACGAGAAGGTTTCAGATCTTTCTTTATAACGCGCAGCATGCTAAGCAGGTTAGGTTCAGCTATTTCATCACAGAAAGCCTTGAAAACCTGCATCCAAAGCCAAAGATGATGAACAGTCCAAACCAAACTAGATAACCTCAAGTAATAATCCAAGCTTTGCCTGATGTTTCAGTTTCAAAAAGCAAGATGTGTGCAGGTGTGGGTGATCTTTATTCTGGTATATTCACAAATAGCTTGATGGAACAAATTGATATTGAACTAAGCGTGACCGTGTTAAACAAGCCTTGATATCAAGGATTGTCTTGAGATGGCAATGGTTTCACAGGAGAGAAAAACAAGCAGATGACCCCTTATGGTTCTCAAGTGTAGAGACAAGTAAAGAAATGGAATTTCAGTTTGAACATAAGGGAATCCTTTTGCTCAAGGAAAACTGAAAATTGATAATTCAACTATTGACAGAAATTCATCAGATGAACAGAAGAGATGATTGAAGCCAAGAGAGTTTGTATTAATGCCTAAATTACTTTTGTCTCTCCTATCGATGACAAAATCTTGGGCATTTCAACAGTTGATGAAACATTGGTGATATCATAAAGAAGCTTTTTATATTTGCAAAGTATAACAACTCTGCAAAAGAACTAATTATGAGAGAGAGGGTTCTTTACAACAAAAGAATGTTATAATCCTTATGATTCTGGAAAATCCAGTCGTATGGGTCATCACAGTTCAATTACTGATAGAATGATGGAGAAAGTGTGGGAACGGCCAGAACATGACATCTCCCATTCACCCTCCAACCATTGATTGGACAATGACAACCTTGTCACTAAGGATTTATACCTTTTGCCTTCTTTAAAAATTCAGTTAGTGCACATCACATACCCGCTCAACAGCAAAACATAAAGGACCAGAAGAATGAGGCAGCAAGGAGAGTAGGGTATCTACAAGGACATCCATCAAAACGGGGGAACCATCTACATCGATATCCTCCTCTTCCTCTGAGAATCCAGGATCATTATAATCCGCAAACGCTTTCTTACAACATATGACAAGTTCGGATGCAGCATCACTAAATTCTCCAGGATGGAGAAGAACTTGCAACAGCAACTGTATAAGCAAGAATCGCATAGCAAACAGTTTATCTAACTTGCATCTTATAGAAAATAATTTATCTTTATTGCCTTTCCCTTCCTTTTCTTTTTCCTCCTCCTTCTCCTTTTCCTTTTTATTTTCCTTTTCCTGCAGCCCAAAAGGTACAGACAAAACACATGAAATATTTCAAGGAGAAATAGTTACCATCATATAACTTAATACTAGGACATAGTGAATTGGGTCAAAAGTGAAATTGAACAGCAGACTCAGCCCAAGTAAATATATAAATGGAAGAGGAACCAATTTTGAAAACTTCTACAATTGTCCAGATTATGCAGTCATGAACTGGAGAAAAATGGCAAGACAAAAGAGAAAAAAAGATTATGTAAACCCTTGTCTGTTTTCGTATATCTAGAACTATTCCCCCTTACCAACATTTTTCAGTTTGCAGCCCTCATGATTAGTGTTCTATTTTCACAATCACTCGGGATAAAAAAGAAAAAGAAAAAATAAAAACTGAATTAGAACGGAAACAATTTAACAAATAAGACTATGACAAGGTCGACTTTCCATAGTACCATTTTTACAATGTTTGCTTCACTTTGTTTTTTTTTTTGAAAAGTAATTAGATGATAAAATTGTTTTTTTGTTTTTTTTGAAAAGCAGCTTCTTAGTCATGCAAAATGTTTGCTTCACTATTTTTTGCTGATACGAAACAACCGGATAGGAATTCAAAAACACGAAAATTCCAATCATTCAATTTTTACAACCGTGGTAAAACTTCACTATCACAGCCTTCATGAGCAGTCCATGGTCCTTACCATAGTAAACTGAAACAGATAGATGTCTATTTTTTATTTCTCTTCTTAAATGACATACACTGATAGAAACCATTTACTTCAGTTTTCCTAATTATCATAGCTAACTGCATTTATTGGATATTATCCTTAGTTTCAAGAATGTAAAATGCAAATAAAAAATAAATGGGTAAGATGGTCTAAAACACAAGAAGCTTACCATGCATAACATCTTAGCATGCATTGAGTGCATTTTCTTCAATGCCCCCTCATCCTCATCACTTAAGGTCCGGAATAGAGAAACTGATGGGATGTTGCGCACTGTTTCAAGAAGCCACATGAAGTATTCCCCTGGTTCACTTGGTTCTTTGCCAGCTGATTCAAACTCAGACCCCTCATCCTTCTGAATATCCCCCAATAGAAGCTGCAGCTGCTCCATACAAATCCGCCGTATATGACTTGAGGTAGCACTCTTTGGCCATTTCAATTTCTCATGCAACTCAAATGATGTAACCTCTGTACCAAGAGATGCGGAAAATAATCCCTGCAGAGTCAAAAATTTCAAAGCCTCTTTCCTCACAGTCAAAAGTTTTGAATTCTTCGATATACGATAGAGACAATCCACGATCCAATTTCGCAAGGAATATGAACTTGTTAAAGAGTCATCATCATCCTCAGCCAAACCCTCAAGATTTTGATTCGTAGCCGACCCAGATGCCCCCTCATCAAGAAACAAGCTTATAAGACTCCCGACAAATGGAGTACAACCTGGGTCCATCCCAAATTTTGAAACTAAGTCTTTAACTGTGTTGGTTCGAGCGATGATATCAAATTTTCCATCTGTGTGTTGTTGTAATGCTACAACAACTGCTATCCTTCGATCATCATCATTCTCCACCAAACTAGAGATTTCATGTAAGAAATGTTGTGCCGCTTTATAAAGCCAGGAGTCCTTGGTAGATAAAATATCAACCAAGCAGTGGATTAGCTTCTTAGAGAGAACAGCATGGATGCATGAAGAAGGTAATCTTGGCATGACCAAAAGCAGAACATCAAAAGCCAAATGCTTTCTATCATGTGACGATGATAGGAGTGCTCCTTCGATGACAACTTCACAAAAAGAGCGGAGACGCTTTATGAGATCCTTTTCAGGAGAGTTGCGCTTCCGGTTTTTCTTAGACTTCTTAGAGGAAGTAATGCTCTGAATATCCAGTACTTCCTCTTCATGCCTTTCCAGATCTGAGAAGAGGATGTCCACCAAATAAGGCCACAAACTATGAACCCGAGGCTGACAAAAGGTTGTTTCCTGTGCCCAGAAAAAAGAAATCACTTGAAAATATAAACTAATGACAGCCACAATTCTTAAGGAGTAAGATCACATAATTAACAGCACACTCTCTGACTTTTCCCAGAAGAATGATGTTCTTGAATGTGTGGGTTCCTTGGTGTCAAGGCTTTAGAAGCTTCTAAAATGACCAAGCACCATGACAAGAAAACCTAGGCATCTTCATTTTTATAAAAGGAAGAGGAAAAAAGATGGAGGTTTGTAGTAAACCGGGATTTCTATGGAATATCATGTAAACAGGAAAAAAGGAAGAGGACACGCAACTTGGACTCAGAGATCTTACCTTGAAACAAGAAACGAGGGAAGTCAAAGCCTCAATAGTAAATAGATTCTTTGGACTGAAAGGACAAGGCCACAATTTGCTAAATGTCTCATCATCTCCAGAAAGCGTTTCTTGTAATTTCATGGCCAAAAGTAGCACATCAGGATTTCCATCATCAGTAGCTCTCTGAAACCACTCCTTCAGGAGAGAAGCCTCAAGAACATGGGTCGACAGAGCTTGTGCAGGTAACTGCAAAACTAAAAGAAGAAAACATCAATAATTAATTGAACTAGAAAAACCATGCTTTCATGAAAATGGTACAAGATGGTACACCATAAAAATATATTCAGTACTTTGTAATGAGCAAAATGAACAATTTAGAAAAAAAAAAAACACAACATGATATAAGACAACACTTCTACAAATCTAAAACCATCAATCCCAGAAATAGCATGCACTAAATAACATCTTTGCAAGAATAACTAATCAAACAAAAATTAAAAAGGAGTGTAATCTTAGCTGACAATTAGGACCACAGAGGCCGCACTTCAGAACACCTCCACGATATCATTACGCCCCTTACATAGTCTCTGCCAACAAAAGGCATAAGAAAGATGCCCTTAATTGTTTCGTCTTGTTTTTATCAAAGTATGTCTTTGTTTGCCTACAATTGCTACAATTTTTAATGTATACTCATACAGTCAGGGCCACTTTTGAAGGATGCGAGCACTTATTTAGAAACAGTCCCATTTCTATATGCCATTTACAGGAAACTTGAAATAGTTTTAGGGATTGTTGTCTCCGCTACAGTTTTTTAGGAGTAGGTCCCATTCCAGAAGCCTGCTTGAAAAAAGCAAAACCTCTAACACACCTAAGTTATTTATTCTTAAAAAGCAAAGAAGGAATATCATTCCCCTGCCAGTAAACAGCCTTAGCCACCAATAGAGTTATGGGAGTGTCCAAACTGGCCTAAGTCATACGAGCTTTCCATCCTATGGAACAATAATGCTGATGAAGAAGCAGGTGAGGCCTCCTCTAGGGGACAATTCCAGTTCCCACCACAAAAATGTGAGGTTCCACTGAGACAAACAGTGGAGCGCTATGTGCCAAAAAGCCGATTTTCTCCAAGCTTCTACAAATGCCTACTCATTGGAATCCCGTGTTAGCAAGAGCAAGCCCATTACGGAAAGGAGCCATCCCCTCTTTATTTATTTTTTTTTTTTTATAACTGTTAATCTTGGATGCCAAGATATTTATAGTAGGTAAAAAGTATGTTCTGATGGTGATCTCTGAAAACTCCTCCTGTACCTGCATGGCCTGGGTTTCCCAAAGAGCAACCATCAAAATTTAATTTGATTGCTCCTTGGGGGGAGGTTTCCAGGCTCTTATAACTTTCTTGTTCTTCGGTTTGTGGAGGAGAATATGCTCTTAATTTGATTGCTCCTTGGGGAGAGGTTTCCAGGCTCTTATAACTTTCTTTTTCTTCGGTTTGTGGAGGAGAATATGCTCCCACTGTGGTAGGAAGGAGTCTGTTGGGATACCATTGAAGAGGTGATGGTTTGACTCACAGAAAGTTACTAAGGATGTAACCTTTTGGAAAAGAGAAAGGGCTAGACCGGCCTGTCCCCGGAAGATTCTAGTATTTCTTTCTTTCAAGATGGTCCAAATAGTTGCTGCCACCATGGCTTTCCATAGGGTTCTGCCTGCCTTCAGCCAGTGCAAGGCCAAGTTCAAAGCGAAAAGGTCTTTGACTGTTGGAGGGATTACCCAAAGAACCCCAAACAATTGCAACAGTAGGCTCCATAGATCTTGGGCCACATTACAATGGAGAAAAAGGTGGTTATTGGATTCCTCTTGACTCAAGCACATGATGCACCTATTGGAAATTGGAATTCCTTTCTTTTGTAGGTGATCCATAGTGAGGGCCTTGTTAGAACCTGCAATCCAGTTGAAGGTTTGCACCTTTGGAGGCACAATAGTCTGCCAAACTTGTGATAGAAATGAGGTTGGATTGAGGGGCAAGGCAGAAGGTTGGATGAGTTTTTTGTAGAAGGAAGCCACTGTAAAGTCCTCTGACGGAACAAGGGACCATACCGACTTATCTCTACTGTGGATATGGATAAAGGTATTGTGGAGCAGAGAGGAGAGTGAAAGGAATTGATTATATTCACCCTCAGAAAGGTGCCTTCTGAAATATGGATGCCATTCTCTTTTTCCTCCTTCCAGTCTGAACTCCTCTACGGTAGCCTCTCTATTAAACGCAACAGAGAACAGAGAGGGATAGCAGTCCCTCAAAGAAGTATGACCTATCCATAGATCAGTCCAGAATCGCACTCTACTACCTTCTCTTGGATAGAATCTGATGAGCTTCCTGAATAATTCAAGGGTGGCATTAAAGGACCTCCAAACACCTGAAGCATTAGCCCAAATAAGACCAGGTTTTTTGGCTAGGTGCCAGGAATGGAGGCATTCGTTGGCTATCAAAGCTCCATCAAGGATTTGTCTATTTTTAATAAAGGCCGACTGTGAGGGAGAGATGACCGAAGGAAGGACCTCCTGAAGTCTAGTGGTCAGAACCTTAGATAAAATTTTATAGGAGGACTTGAGCAAACTTATGGGACGAAACCCTTAAGTTCCTCAGCCCCTTGGATCTTAGAAACCAGCGTGATGAAAGTGGCATTGATGGATTCATTGGGAATACACTGCTGAACATATTCTGCAAAGAAACTTAAGAAATCCAAGCGAAAAGTTTCCCAAAAGATCTTAAAGGGGGCCACGGGAAACCCATCAGGCCCAGGAGCTTTGTCTTTAGCTAGGCCGTCCAACGCTTTAAGAATTTCATCTTCAAGGAATGAACGTTCTAACTATGTTGCATGTTCTTCCGAAAGGGTCAAGAAGTCTAAGTCAGCCATAGCTGGTCTAGGACCAAAAGGAGCTGAGTATAGGTTCTGGAAATAGTTTAAGATTGTTGATTTAATCACTTCCGGCTGGTCTAAATAACAGTTGTTAACTTTAATGGTCGAGATTGAATTGTCCCTCCTACATTATTTAGCAATCCTGTGGAAGAAATGGGTATTGTGGTCCCCTGTTTCGAGCCAGTTGACTCTAGATCTTTGATACCAGTAGATCTCTTCTTTTTTCAATGTGGATAAGTAATTAAATATTGTTTGGGTTCGGAGGTCAGCTTCAAAAGAGGACATGGGAAGTGATTCTTCAATGATATCCAGGTCTTGCAAGGTCAAAAGGAGATCAGACTTCATCTGAGAATAGTTCCTTGAAACAGACGATCTCCAGGACATTAGGGAAGCTTTGAGGAGTTGAATTTTCGATTGTAGTCTGAACCCTACTCTACCATTTACCTGGGCGGAGAAGTAGTTCCACCAGGTAAGGATCAGAGTTGAGAGAGACCTTTCCTCTAGCCAGGCTAACTCGAATCTGAAGGGTTTGGGGTCCCTATTAAGGGCTAAGGTTGAAAAAAGTATGGGGCAATGGTCAGAAACAGGTTTAGGCAAGGCCATCGCATGAGAACCCGTGAACTTTTCCTCCCAAACTAGGGTAAACAGAAACCAATCCAATTTGGAGAGAGAAGGTTGGGATGAGTGATTGGACCAGGTGAATTTGTTGCCTTGGAGAGGAATATCGAGGAGGTCATTCCTAGTTATGAAATCAGAGAAGTCCAAGAGATCCGGGAGCTGGAGTTCCATTCATGGGACCACCGTGTTATGTGAAAGTCCCCACCCAGGCACCGAATAGGATGAGGGAGGGACGCGGCATAGTCCAGTTCGAACCAAAGCCGCGGTCTAGAGGCCGAAGAGCAGGGGTCATAGATGGCCGAAAATTTCCATTCAAGGCCGTCTGAGATTCTGGAGAGCAAAATGGTGACAGAGAAATCCCCTATATGCAAGGATTTTAAAAGATGATAAGTGGGCTCCCAAATAACCCAGATTCCCCCTGAGGCTCCTTCCGCGGGTAAAGCTACCCACTCGCAGGGCCTCCTACCACAAACCTGACGAACTTGGAGTAGGGAGGGCTCAAGGGTCTTAGTTTCAGTAATAGCTAAAATAGTGGGACAACGTTTGGAAGTCAAGTCCTTGATCGCCTTACTTTTCGAAGGATGACCCAAACCTCTGATATTCCAAGTGACTATCTTCATGATGAAGACAGAGAGTAGGGAAGGGAGGCTATTCTGGGTGAACGACTCAAAGAACCGCCTTGGGGGGAGAAAGAGGACCCTTCAATAGAGGATGGGCCCTGAACAGTTAAAGAAGAAAACAGGTTCAAAAGCTCCCTCTTTCCTTTGAATCCCACCTTCATGCGACTCTAGGGATCGGCGAGTTTGAAACGATGAGCCAATCCTTCAAGGCCATCATACTGGAACCCCATCAAGCGGTACATGTCCTTCATCCTTTCCAGGTCACGGTCGAGCCGTTCCTTGTCGACCCCCTCGTCGCCATTGTCCATCGAGGGGGGAGAGAAGGTCGTTGAAGAATCCACAATTGGTAGGTTAAGCCCATCCCCGTCGACGCCCCCGTCTAAGGCCCTTGACGAGGAGGGAGAGATGAGATCCACCAGAGCATCGGACTGGTCAGTCCCCTGCTGCTGGGTAGAAGGGGGAGGGGAAAAGGGGGCGTAGAGATCAGAAGGAAGAGAAACGGGGGTAGAGGGGGAGTCACAAAGTGGGGGGGGAGAAAGATAAAGGGGGTGAGGAGGAGGAGCGAGAGGAGACGAGAGGGAGAGAGACGACGAAGAACGGAGAGGAGAGACGAAGAACGGAGAGGAGAGACGAAGGACAGGGAAGGAGAGATTGGGCTCCCAACTGGTCGCGACAGGGGAACAGACGAGGAGGGAAGAGGGAGGGAGGGAACAGAAAGGGAAAGGAAAGAAGAGGGAAGAGGGGAGAGGATGGCGGGGGTGGGGGAGAGATAAGCAAGTTGGTGAGACACCTCAACCGAGTGGTGGGACAGACAAAAGGCCCCAAAACAGTGATGAGAAAAGTGAACCCTATGGACCCTAATTACGTGGGCAGTAAAGCCTGGGGAAAAAGAGAAATCCAAGGAGGGGTAAGCTGGAGAGGGAAACTCATGGTCCCAAAGGGAGGGTGATGAGTCCATAAAGGGAGAGGAGAGAGACGGCCAAACAAAAAGAGAGAGAGGGAGGAAAGGATAGGGGGGAGAAGTCAAGGGGAAGCAGAAGACACAGAGAAGGAGGGGAGGGATTGCTAAGTAAGGGCAAGGGAAAGGAGGAAACGA